TTTTTACTGTGTGGCCACACGGAAGCGTTTGTTTTGAATCAAAGGGTCATTGGAATCCACTGGAACCATTCTACCTTTACCACGCCACTGATGTGAAGAGCAACAGAGAAGAAAGAAAATGAATAATATCATGAAATATGATAAAGATGAAGACCAGAAAACTGTAAACTTGAAATTCAAAACTGTGCATTTTTTGGATTGCTGTGAATTGGCAAAGAAAAAAAAACAAAAAAAAAAACTGAACCACAATCAAGATTGTTTTCAAACTGAACAGTATTTGCTACACAGACACGAGCAGCGTCCATGAGACAACAATCTCACTAGATATCAACAAGTGACTCTGGGAGAGTTGAAGCCCAGTGCAATGAAGATATGATGAAAATGATTTGTATTCATAATTACAAAAATGAAATCTATTGATATTGAATATAAGAGCAAACATAGGAAACTGTGAAAATGAGTAAATATGTATATTCCACGAAAAACAAAATGAAGAAGTTAGCTGTACATAGGGACGACTGTGTAACATGCTTGCTTTTTAAACAGATGTACATAGATACTGTAGTGGACAGACAGTTGTTTTTTTTTGTAAATCATCTTCAAAGATCTTATTCATTGCAATAATGAAAAAGATGATGCCACTTGAAAGAGGAGACATGTGGAGAGCAGTGTTAAAATCTGTTACGTGTTGAATACTTAACTTTATTATATAGGAACATTCAAACTCTAAATGTGAATGGGGTATCAACTGCCCAAATATTCTGATACCTGTTGCGTACAAATACATTAATATATTCAACAATGAATGTTAAGTAGCTCCACCCCAATCCTTAAACCACACCCCTCACTGTGCAGATGTAGACCCCAGAGAGTTGCTCATGAGTAGAGCTTTACAAATCAAGTTTCTGCAGTCAGAATATAACTATTTTTTTCATTCTCTTTGATCTATTTTTTGTACCGAGAACTTAAAAAGAAACTGTCTGTGTCCTGGTATTAAATGTCGACAGTCCAGTACTATCTGGGTAGATCTTTAAGACCATTATGTGTTTGGAGACATGAATCAAAACCATGATGCGAAATTGAAAAATGCCATTTCTCTCTCATATGTTATTTGAAGTGTCTATGGTAATTCCAGTAAGACGTTGAACCTGAGCTGATGAAGCCACTGTTTATATGTTGAACAATGATTATAGAGCCCTTCCTTATTGAAACACTGTGGATTGTCCAGGGAGGCTGGACACTGTAGCAGAAATGAATTTGCTCCAGTCTCGCTGGGTGTCCTCATCTCTTCTTGGAAGGACAATCTGCAATAGGATACAAGAAGCCACATCTTCAGCAACACCAGCCCACGATGGAGTTGGTTCTAAACATTTTCGTTGTTTTCCCAATTCTCATCTGTTTCCGTACACACGATGTGGCAGGACGGGGAAGTATGCAGCGAAGTAACCAGCTGAAATTTCAGGTCATGCCTTTTTGTCCTGCCATCCGTCTTTAGAGCTGAAGTGTAATATGGCGTCTTATTTTGGTTCAATTGTACATCTTTATTTTGATCTTTTTTTAAGTAAAAAATAATTCAAATTGCAATGTACTGTCATTATTTCATGTAGAGATAAGAGAGAAGCATCGTTGATGTTTGTGTCCTGCAAGAAAAATATGTCGACAAATGCCCACATTGTGCTGAAACTTTGCATGAATATTATGGTCCTGAGAGGATGAATTCTAAGGTTTTTGGTGACCTCTTTGCTAAGGCTAGATTAGAAGCCTAGCAAAATAACGTCCCGAGGGCCCCAGACCTCCAACAGACACCAAAGTAGTTCAACAGTTTAGTTCAACATTTTTAGAAATGCACTTAGTATTCCTCCAGGAAGTCAATACTCCCAGCCAAAAAGTAGTCCAACTTATAGCCTCCTTAACATTTGGACAGTGCCAGCCTGACAAAAAAGAACAACCCTAACCCTCCCAAAACAGCCCATGAGCCAATTTGGACTTGGGGTGAAGTTGGTTTCGACCCCTTCCGAAGGCCGTAGGGACTCGAAACTGGTACCACTCCAACGGCAATGGCCACATTAGTGGGGGTTGAGTCCACTTCCAAGGCTCTAACCCTAACCCTAACCCTCCCAAAAGAGACAATTTGTCTAATTTCAGATTAGATTTGAGAGGGAATGGTGCATAGTTACAACATAATTTCACTACAGGCTAATAGCAGACCACCTCAAGGTGTCACTCAGAGAGAACCAGGACATTCTGATGTAGCATTTCAAAATTAAAGCCCTTCAAAATCTCATTCGTGAGCCAACTTCAAATCACATTCATGATTTCACAAATTTCAATTTATTACCTCTTCCCAAGGTCCTAGATACTATGACTTTTTCCGACATACTATACTAATACTTTTGTCATTACATTTTCAACATACTATACTACGACTTTATTCGACACACTATATTACGACCTTTTTCATGACAATTTGCATACATACTAGATTATGACAATTTTCGTCATACTATACTGTCTTTCATCATTACCTTTGTCGACATACTCTACTACGACTTTTTCTGACAGTCTTTTTTTATGACAGTTTTCGACATACTATACTATGACTTTTTTCATTGATTTGACAAAGCGGTGTTATCCTTGGCTGTTGCCGTCTTGTGTCAGGGAGAGTATGTGCAGAGTAAGAAGCCACCCAGCACAGATCCTCACACAGGTGTCCTCAATCATCCATTCGGGAACTGAACCTAGATAAAGAAATGGAATTCAACAGAAGACTAAAGAAAGGCACGTAACAATATGACTTTTTATTACTTTGTATGGCATGCTATATTATGCTTTTTACGAAAGACATTTTTACGACATTCTATACTATGACTTTTATGAAAGTTATGACTGAGTTTTTATGGCATCTTGTACTTTGATACTTTTTTTTCAATAGCCTATACTATGACTTTTTCTGACATGATATACAAGTTTTTTCATGAAATGTTTTGACATACTGTACTATGCCTACTGTACTATTTTTATCCACCCATTTTTTAATACTATACTGACATTTTTGGTATACTAAACTGATTTTTACTAGTTGATGTACCAAGACGTTTAATGAGATTTCTATGGAATACTATACAATTACTTTTGACACTATAATGATGTACTATACTATGACCCATTTGTATGACAAAGAATTCTATGACTTTTTATTACATCTTTGATTACATTTTTTCCCACATACTAGACCAAGTCTTCAATTTTCTTGGCATACAATACGATGTAATTTTACTGCTAAAGCCAACCATACTATGGATGTTTATGTATTCATGACTAGACACTTTTAAGACTTCTTTTCACATACCATCACCATCATATTTTTGACATTAGACTGACTGATCCATGACATACTGTAAGATGTGCTATACTACAATTTACTGTTCCTTTTTTATGAGATACGATTTTCATGACATACGATTGCGCCGAAAAGTCAACATACAAAACAAAATATATATTTTCTACATTAAACCGCGGAGTTGTCTCCATGTGTGTGTTTTTACAAGCTCATCACATTTCAGGTAAAACCATCTAAAAAGAAACCGTTAACGCCAACTGTCAGATATAGTAGAATATTATTAGAGTGCTAGTACCACAAAATAGTACTTGTGTACTTGTACAGATCTTGAGTAAATGTACTTCGTTACTTTGAACCACTACAGCAGAATCAATGCAATAGCAGATGTATTCTGCTACTGCTGGCCAGCACTGCCCTCTAGTGATGAAAAATCAAACCAAAGACGGGAAAAGACAACATCTTACACATTTGAATTTAACATCTTTGAATTTGAAGTTTAATGTTAATTCCATGCTGTGTTTCCGTAAGAATACAGATGGTACTTGTGGCTCCGTTGAGAATATCCAGTAGTACAAATCAGATTCACGTTACACATACCGAAGAGAATGAAGAGAGGAAACGAGGAGTAGGAAAGAAAGAGTTGAGAAGAGGAAACCTGAAATAGTCAGGACAGTAAAGATAGAGCAGGTCTCTATTTCCCAAAATTGCTTTTTTTAATATGGTGCCAATGCAAAACTGCATTATATTACAATCAATAGTGTTGAGCATTCCCCTCCCAACGCACACACATACGCGTTCTGTCTGCTAAAAAGCCATTACCTAACTATCTGCCATTAGCAAAAGCGCTACAGCCTCGCAGCACATTACTTGGTCCGAGAATGGACAAGAATAGAGGTCAGAGTGATGCTTGGAGAAGGGGGACATTCTGCTATTTGTCATTAAAAAAAAAAAAAACAACTATTGATGTGTCGAAGGAGCAGGTTTGGTAACCACAAAGTAAAGAGGGCACTTAGTTCTTCCAAAAATCTTTCACACATCCCTTTTAAATCTTTTATCGCCACTTTATTTCCTCAATTTGCAAACTGAAATGTTTCAAAACTGACTGACTGCACGGACAATATATTGTTTAGAAACACACAAATACAGGAAAAAGTTGAACAGCTAAGTATTGTCTTTAAATAAACTCTTGCATATGTGTGTTAGAAATACAGGCAAGCGTACTTGGCAACAGATAATACAGCAAAGTAAAGCAAAAGAAAAAAACAAAAACAGTAAAAGAGGACATGAACCTTAAAGGGTACAGGCTTGCAAAATGAGTCATCAAAATAAGGTAAAACTCCTGGGAAGTGGAAATGGAGACCCGAGCGGGCCCTGTGGGGGGGTTGGGACATGACATGCTTATGAGGAGAAAGGGTAAGACAGATGGGTAGAAATGGAGGGGAAAGGAGAGGAAGAGTGGGCTGCAGTATAAACCCAGTTGAAAAGTGTGGCTGGGGACAGAAGCTAGTGCTGGGAGGAGAGGAAAAAAGGGAGGATGGGTAGGAGGAGGAAGAGGACTCGTCTTGTGTCGTTCAGTCTCACTGGGTCTCTTCCTCCGCATCTGGCGGCGGCGGTGGTGGTGCTTCTTCTTTGTTCTGTTCTTCACCTGAGATAATTAAAGGAACATAACACAATGTCATCTCTGCACACTCAATGAGAGATTCTCTTTAAAAGGCGGCTTAATTAAATGTGGCCGTTCTGATGAACAGGCCAGCCAGAGGCAGCTCCTCCCTGCTGGGTGTTTCGCTTCCATGAGGTCGACCAGGAGGAAGACTAGTTCACAGATCCGGCTGAGATTATTGTATTCTCTATCCATAACAACACACGGCTTGTTATTGACGAATGATTCATTTCTATTGTTATTAGCATTATGTTATTGTCATTAACATTTAATCAATAGCTGAATTAAAAAGGCATAAAAACTAAACAGGGGCTTGCTAAATTTTCCCGTCACTACAAAACAGTAAAATACATTAATGTATTGCATTGCTTAATAGCATAAAGTTTTAGTATTAAGTACAAACTTGTTGCCAACCGGGTTACCAGTTCAGCATTAAGCAGATCATATTGTCCTCTCTCATGAACAGGATATGCAGTTTGTTTTGGCACAAAGACGTTGTTTGCCGTGCCGTTATTAGAAAGCGTAAAGGAATACAACGAGGGAAAGGTCTGCGTGCTTATTTGGTGCTTTTTGAAGAGTCAAACTGAAATCCCTGAAACACAATCGTTCCATCAGAAGTGTGTGGATTGGTCAACCATGCAACAAACAATCCCAACACGTAGAAGTAGACCACAGTGTTAAGCGCCGATCGTGTCAACATGCAGTCGAGTGAGCCAGTTAGTCCACAGTGCCTTCACAACAAGCCGCGGTCAGACGTACCGAGCGAGGGAAATGCCTTGTGAACCTGTACGACTGGTTGCTGAGAAAGGTTACCATAGAGACAGCACAGCCATCCGTGTAATGAAGAATTAAGAGGCATGAATAACAAAAGGCTCGAGAATCCATCATGATTAGAACAGAAACTGCAACAGTGCTCATTAGCAACACGGCTAACCGGGATGTGAGAAAGCCGCGGGAGACAGAGCCGCGGCCTCGCACGCTGTTACTGCAGTTTATCCGTTACATCACACTCCAGAGCGCTGCGTTCACGGGCTTACTGCTGCACCGCCCCAACGGGCTGTGTTCAGTGAGACGGACGAGCACGGCGAAGGCGCCCGCAAGTTCTTTCAGTCTGTGTTCCAAGGCCGGAATCACAATCTTAAGAATGTAGCGCGATACAGAGCTACAGAGGATTGTGGCTCCCCCCCTCGTATTAGCTTTTAGTTTTGTACCCCCCCCCCCCCATTACTTACACTGGAAGCGTGTTGAGAGAAAATTGTGGAAAAAAAAGAGGGAGAAATAAAACCTCAATGAGAGACTACATTGAGTAACAGAAGATAAGAGGAGCTGGGAAATGAAATCTAGTGGACAGTACTATTCAAACAAAACGCAACCTAGCATTATTTCAACTTTTAGCGACTCGCGGACACTCCGACAACACTAAAAGCACACAGCACTCGAGTTCCACTCGTGCAGAAATAGGTGGATAACAGGTGAAAAAGCAGCAGGTAATCCTTCAGAGCTGTGGGCAGATAGGGCAGGAGAGGAGATAATCTCCTCTCACCCAAAAAACATTCCTTTATAATGTGAGGTGGTTAGTGAGGGATGCCAGGGTGGTGAGACAGGAGAGACAGCTCGAGGTGAAACAGACAAAGACAGGCAGAAGGAATGACTTACAAATTAGACTTGTATAATGGAAGAGTGAGGGAAGAGGGCTGTCCTTAAGAATCTACAGACAAACGGTGGAGAGATGAGAAGTTAAAGCAGTGCGAGTACTGAAGGAAAGGAGGGGGAAAAAAAGAGGGAGAGAGAGAGAGCAAGAGACTCACTTCAGAGAAACCACAGGGATGAAGGGAAAGGTTAGAGAAAAAGTTTATTCTTCAGTTTTCAGGATGCTTTTTGGTGGTATCAGCACTTAAACACAAGTATCTTAGAAACTGAAATCGACTAATCTTCATTCAGTATCACTGATGAATGTAGATGCTAGTAGATGCCAACTATAACTGAAGCCGTGAGTTAAACAGAATGGCTCTCTCACCATCTCCCTGCACGTCTGAGGTCCATAGTGTCAAGTTGTCACGTAGCAACTGCATGATAAGTGTTGAGTCCTTATAGCTTTCCTCGCTCAGCGTATCCAGTTCTGCGATGGCATTGTCGAACGCTTCCTTCGCCAACCTGTCCAACACAAGACAACAGTTGCATTCAGTGAACAGGTGGACAGCATTGTACGGAGGGAAATTCATCTGAGAATCACAAACGGTGTCGTACATCAATGTCAACATGAAATGATCACACGTACTTGCAAGCACGGTCTGGCGAGTTGAGGATTTCATAATAGAAAACAGAAAAGTTAAGGGCCAGTCCCAGACGAATGGGGTGCGTTGGAGGGAGTTCGATCATGGCGATGTCGCTAGCAGCTTTGTACGCAACCAGACTGTTCTCGGCTGCCTCTTTCCTGTCGTTGCCTGTGGCAAACTCTGCCAGGTACCTGTGGTAATCTCCCTTCCTGAACAGAGGGAACAACACAAACAAACGCATTAACAAACCAGCAGCGCTGAAGTTAACGTACAGAACAATACAGTTTGGGACAAGAACATCAAGGCACCCCTACAATCCATATTATAGATTGCATTTACATTGTTGAATACTGAGCCCCGTTAGCTGGTCCAACAATTATTAATGCTTGCTTTGCAACTTTCGCAGAACTGAAAGAGTGTTGGTTGCATAACTTTCCCTCCTCGGCCACTAAACCTAAACTTCACCTACCATTTAATGGCACATTTAAAACATGACGGGACCCTGGCTTACTCTGAATAAGGTACTTAAGACACGACTACATAACAGTTCATTTAGCAACTAACGCAGTGACAGAAAATCTCCACCTAGAGCCACTATGAGGTTTAGCTCATGTCTAGTTTCTCACTACACAAGAATATTAAATTACTTGGTTATGGATCCACGTATAATCCCCTGCACTGCAACCATAACAGGAAGTGGCTCAGATAAACACATACTTATGATTACCTGGTAATTTGTGGATTGGAGAGAAGTGAGATACGGTCAATATTTATACACACATATGTTGGATACATACATTTTGTAGTAGAAAACCTTAGATTCTCCTGTGACTGCAGCTAAGATGAGGTGCTTGTCCAGTACATCCAGAATGTCGTTGCAGATTGATTTCAGCTCTTTCTCGACCTGCAGACCAACACACACACACACACACACACACACACACACAAACAGTCAACAGCCTGTATGGTCACATAAAACCTCACAGGTACTAGAATAAAGCTCCCTTTGACTAATCAGTTGCAATTTAAACCATGTTTGATATTTTATAGTTGATAAATGAATGTCTACGAGCCATGACCATCAGTTACTCATTAAAAAAAAAACAATACCCTACATTCATATTTCATGCACAACAAACTGTCACACAAACAATAGCTGCAGGTGGGCAGAGATGCACAAGGCAGAGTTTAGGGCCGTGGTCTCCGAGGCAGCCAGTCAATTGGCTCTCTGAGCTCTTTTCAATAAAATGTACACAAAACAGATCCATGAAACTTTTCCAGCATCTTACATACAGCTGTGGGAAATGACATGCGTACAAAACCCTGTAAATAAAATGTGTTTCTGCTCTCACTAGATGATTGGAAGGCTGCTGCGCTGCGCTCAGTGAGTGGGAGTTACTCTGCAGCAGAAATGAGGAAGAATTGATTTACAGCCGATTCTTGGTTGCTGTGAGCTCGTTATTTCACTCAGACAAGTCTCAACATCTCCTCTCAAAGTGGAGAGGTCAGGGGAGGAGACCTGAAAGAGGCCTGCCAAAAACGGCAAAACATTGCCAGCAAGTTCGCTACTAAATGTGGAAATGAGATTATCTGACAGTTACACTACAGATACACTGATCTGTGTGAAACAAAAAGGTACGTAGCAACCTAAAACTCTAAGTAGGGGTTTGTATTTCCAATGCAGGAAGAGCCATGGAAAGAACTGCATTCTCATGATCAAAACCGTGTAGCTTAGAAACCTCAAAAAGATACATTCTCACACTGCTTACAATCAGTGAAAAATAACCAGTTATTACCGTTTTTCTGTATTCCCGGATCATCTTTAGTTTGTCTTCTCCGCCTTTGTTTTCTTCTTTCTGCTCCAGGCTGCTGATTATCCTCCAGGACGCTCTTCTGGCCCCGATCACGTTCTTGTACGCTACCGACAGCAGGTTCCTCTCCTCCACCGTCAGCTCCACGTCCATGCTGGCCACGTTCTTCATCGACTCCACCATTTCTGGGAGACACGGGGAAACAAATGGCATAAGGCGGAGGCCAGCACAGAAGGAGCAACAACCTGAACTGTGTGAAGCATTCACTTTACCTAACCCGGGCGTGAGGCCTATCAGAACGCTGGGTATTTAACTGGTGCACACGGCCAAATCTAGTGTCTAAACGTGAAACATGTCTTCACACTCCATTGGGTTCTGGTCTGATCGGCAGTTACGAGATTGGTCACTGCAGTGGGACGTTGGGTTTCTCCAACAGTCCGGTACTAGTATTCAATGATGTTTTGACCCATCCATATAGAGAACATATCATCAACCATGGCCCAAATAAGGCCTACATAAAGGAAGCACATCCACCCTCCATTAAGAATGAGTTCAAACCACAGAGCAGAGCCTAGAAAGCTTTCTGTCATCAGTATTATATTAATGGGGTTCCTGGGACACTGCCCAAGTATAGACTCCTCTAATGCAAAGATTCACCACCTATAGACACCGATGGTACGGTACAGGGACCGGAGCCAGGACTATGTACCAGAAGGCTGAGCCTCACATCCTCTCAAGGTGATTCAGTAGGGTGTGGTTGATAAAGAATCTACAATAAACAACAATTTAATACTCCGCTCTGAAGGAGCTACTAATTAGCAAACAAGCCGTTTCCCTGGGGATTAACAACAGACACTGCATGGGGCCTCTGGAACCAAATCACAGAGCAGTTCAAGGGGGCATAGAAGGCAACATCAACATCGAACTAAACTGCTGCAGCAGTTGTCTCTGGATAAGCCTTTAGGCTTATCCATATTCTGTGCATATTTGAATATGCACGTTCTGTGCATATTCAACTACATATTCTGTGGGATGATTTCGAATCGTCCGAGTAGCATCATGTGCGGAATGCTAATGCCTTTTTAAAAATGTGATGACTGTCTTTAATGGCGGAATTGAGCTCAAGCTGCAGACGAGTCCAGCGCCCATGCTAACCGTGCTACCCTGGAGGTAAGAGAGTGGTGTGCCAGTCTTTTGGCTTTCAGCTTCACAGACAGGGTGTTATCTGTTGAAGCCCATGGCAGGGTGCTGCGCAGCATACTGGTGAAACCTGATACACGATGGTTTCAAGCCAGGAGCACTAATGCTGCTTTGATCATTTTACCCTCCAGCCCAGCACGCACTCAAACAGACTCAATGACCTATCTGTGCTTTTTAAAAAACTGTTCTCAGCGTTGCAAGTTCTGCAGCTCCATTGAACTGATCAGTCAACCTCGGTCTCTTGATGAAACAAACTGGGCTTCTTTAACCACCAGCTAAGATGGAATTTGTGTTATTTTAGAGGTTGAATTTGTCACACGTGGTGCATGCACAAGCTGTGGCTTTTCTTCTGTGAGGATGAAAAAGGGTGTCTCCAGTCTGATCATTGCTCTTTTGGGGCTATTTGATGGAGGGAAGTCTTGGGTGCTTTGGTCACATTTGAAGCAGCACTCAGCCAAGCATGTCAGCTTGTCTGACAAAATTATGTTTTTGTTAGCTGACAATTTAGCTCAATGGTGCAAATTTAAAATGCATATATGATCATGGATGGCCATGTACCTACTGATTGTTGCATACCTTTCCAGCTGCATCGCTGTGGTTCCAATGTCCACTCAGAACGCCAAAAAAGACAAATTCAAACATGTGCTTTTCGGTTTCATTGTTAGTCATTTTCCTTGGTGTCTAGCTCTCAGTTTGGTGTGTATGCTACTGAACAGCATGTCTGTCTCTCACCCACTTCAACCAAAGAAAGAAACTAAAAACAGCACCCAGTGGCTTGTTTGTCTTTTTACAGACATTAACCCATAAAATGCATTTTACTTTTTTTCTAAATTTCAAAGCCACGTGTCTTCAAATACATTTAAAAATAGACCAGATGCACGAAGAAACCAAAGCACATGAAAGAGCTGTGCACCACACAACTGTTGGACACACGAAGCAGCAGCTGAAGCTCAGCTAAACCACAGTGCAGCCGTGTCCAGAGGACTTAGGGGGTAGGACTCCATTGTACAGTAGAGTTGATCAATACCAATGACGTAAATATCTGGCCGGTTGCTTTAAAGAAGTTTTAACATGCCACCTCATTGACTTCCTGTCGTGGTGAAAGTGTATCTTATGAATTCTTCCGTCAGACAAGTAGAGCTGTGACACGGGCACGTTAAAACACCGCCAACTATTCACGCAACAAAAGAGTCTCAACTGCGTTTAAGTCTCATTAAATGGAGAGCTTCTTTCCCTGTGTTACACAAAGGTTGGAGCTCTCACACACACAGCACTCTGCAACCGCAGTCCGCTAACTTGTCCTAGCTACCAATATTCGATGCCAGTGAAAACTCACACCAATTGTAGCTAATCAACAGAATTATAACGACCATCTTTTATAATTTAAATAACTTCCTATGTAATAAGATGAACAGATCATTGTTGGGGTCTTGCCATTATCACACCTGCAGTGTCTTTTCCCTTTTTAAATATATTTTGTCCCTGTATTGCGCCAGCAGTCTGCTCGTGTACAGGTTCAGTGTGCGTTATTGGTATAAATTGATGCAATACAGTGCATGGTCGGGGTCCTGTGGGGTCATGTTGAACTAAGGATGATAAAGGATGTGCTGCAGTGAGCAGCCGTGCAGATCCACGCCTCAATCACAATCCGGTTTGTTGCCAAGTCGGTTTCTAGGGATTTGATTTGGTGCATTATATTAACATAGTGACAGGAGATTACATAAAAAAGAAAAGCAGATATTGCTAAAAATCTACGCATTAGAATTTTGCATTAAAATATGCAATGTACAGAGATATAGTCAAAGATGTGCGTTAACTTAAAGCATGTAGACAGATGTCAATGTGTCAATGAGACGGGGTCCTGGGCCTTGATGAGAAGAAATAATGCAAATGTTTATGATTCATTATAGTGCATGACTAAATGAGTTGTTATCATGAAGAACAAAGTACACGTCTTTGACAAGATGCAGTAACTCACACCAGAAGCACTCGTGTGTTGTCACTAAAATGTTTGATGCAGTGTGTAGTTCAGTCACTCCATCAGTGTAAGAGATGGATCACACTACACCACACCGATGAGGCCTCTGTGCACCACGAGGATCAACATTATTGACTGAATATCTAAAATCAACTACAGTGTAAATGTACCAATAGGCAGCTCAATTAACGTTGCTGTGCTGAAATAAGAGAAATACTCTGTGCCTCGCCTACTCCCGTCCACCATTGGCGCTCCACCTCTGAATCAATTAACTCACACCAGCACGACACTGGCCTCATTAAAGTACAATAGCAGACGGACCAACACAAAGAGAGCTTCATATTTCAGTTTTTTTTAAATTGTTTGCCTAATTGTTCCGGGTTCAACTAACAATTCAGACCTTAAACGAGTTGTTGCAAAGTAATGTCACTCCTAAATGCTTAAATGTAGTGTATCAAATGGTAGTTGACCATTGGTTTTGTGAGACTGGAGCTGTATTTTCTTACACACTCGGTGTGGGCGGTGCGTTAGCATTAACGGTGGTACGGATACATTTTTTCGGATACATCTTCCGACTGAAGCTGGGGATGTATACCACGTGTAGTCCAACGGTTACAACAGAAGCAGAGACGTTTGCTTTATTTCTGAATGGAGTTTGGTGTGACGCGTGTCTGGGGGGGCTGAAGAATGGCTAGTTTAGCTAGTTAGCACTAGGTAGCTACAGTGGTAGCTAACTAACGCAATGAACTAGCTTAGCTCACCAGCTACCGTAAGCTAACGTTTAACCAGGCCACGCGACAAAGGCACGCTAAGCTAAATACACCTTCCGTCTGAACCCAAAAGAAAAATAAATTAAAAGACGTTTACCGATTCATTCGGCTGGAGAAACCTCCGCCATTTTGTCCCTCACCAAACAGATCCATGCGTAACGTTAGTGTTTTACCTGCGTCTCCAAAAGCCCCCCTTGCGCACGGAGACTGGAGGGGCAAAGAGGGGCCAGGCATTCTGCAGTGACCATTATCATTTATGCGGGGGTCTTACCGTCGTATCTCTCCGCTTGCTCGGCGAGTTTCGCCTGGTATACTAAGTTCTCTCTATCCGCCATGGTGCTCGGATGTTGTTTGGGCTGCTCGTCCCAGTGGAAAGTGAGGATTATCTAGCTGCTCGGTGGTGGATCAGCAACAGCACCGTTGCTCCGCTGAACTGAACAACCCACCGGTAGGTAGCACACTGGCGTAAAGATGGCGACGCTACTCCATCCGGGAAACCCACGCAGCGATCTCATTTACGCCCACTATACACCCTTGTGCCAAATCCCGAAATAAACCAAGATTCTCCAAGATTACTCTCACAAAACTCCATTCAAACAATGGCAAATACAGAAGAAGTGACTTTTCAATACATTTAAAATGTCTATGATTGTTCTATGTATTAAAATGTGGCAACTCTTCCATTCGGCATAAATATAATTCATAAGTAAGCATTTATTTTACAATTTTTAACTTGCTCACAGTCACACAATATACAATTTGGTATCATTTTATTGACAATGTATATTAACACATTACATGCTACAGAAAATAAAAAAGGTACATTTTAAGTTCAAATAATATATTTGACACATTATACAATCTCTTCTCTTTTTAAATCCTGTGTTTGCTTGTTCGGGTCCTCTTCAAAGTGAGGTCGAAATGGCACAAAAACAAAAATGTATGATCAATAAAAAAACAACAACTAAAAGAACAATTAAACGTTATTTGGCATGATAAGACTTAAGGAGATATGGTGCACATTGTAGGATCATCAGTGGTATCTTCTTTATAAAAACAACTAACTGCAGAGTTATGAGAATAGTTTCTGTAAAAGGCAACAATTAGTGAGTTCAGTGCCATGCATCTGAATGCAATACCAGATAAACCACTTTTGCATAAAGATATTACAACAAATAGGAAAAAAGGACTGCTACAGAACAGACGGAGCAGTCTGTGACGATCACTTCTTTCCACTCAACGACGGGAGAGGACTGTAGGGATATGGAAACAATCAAACATCATCGTTTTAAATATCCAACTGATGTCAAACCTATGCCAAAAAATAACTACACTTGAGAATTGACATTGCATTTTCAGTTTTTGTTTTGTCCCAAATTGCACAATACCTTCCAGCACAATACCGGGTTTTGGGAGACATCTCACACCAGATGTTTATGTTATTAAAGCATTCTTCCTTAAGATCACTAACACGGCCCTTTTGCATCCAATCATAACGATTGGAGTGTCACTAACATTAATTTCGTGTTAATTGTACAACTATATATCCATGTGAGCTCTACTTAGTTACACAAACTCAACAATTATCGTCGCATTAACCACTGAATGTACTCAATTCCAATAATTTAGCTGAGCTCAAATATTTCACCTTAACAAAGACACATGGAATATGGGGACTTAAAACTATTGTTTATTAATATATACAGGGCTGTAAATTACCTTGATAAACACATGTTACGGTAATAAAAAATATGGCATTTAATTTAGCGTACAAAAGATAATCTCCTTAAATTTGAGTCTAAATAACAAACAATGGAGGGAAACTTTCCACAAGACATTGTAAACTCAGATGACGCTTCGGGATATCTGGGGTCAGATGCATGAATGAATAGCTAAACCTGGACACAAATCAATACTTCTAAAGATAATAATACAAATAAAAATGCCTTTTTAACTCTATTATATCTCGTCCCCAGTTATATATTGTCCACCTCTTAGCAACATATGCAAAATATTTTTTAAATGTTTTATTTTTTTCACATTTTTTATCAAAATCCAATCGTCCTTTCTTCCTGTAAAACACAATATGAAGTGTGCCTACAGTACGTAAGCTTGTACCAAACCAATTTAAACTGATAATATGACATTCATCCATCTGCAACTTTTGGAAAAGAGGGAGGTGTGTGGAGCCACAGTCCTTTGTAGCTCCGAACTGTGCTACATTCTAAGCATGCCCACTTTTTACAAATGTTTACATCCCTCTTGTAACTGTCGACCACTCAGATATTCTGCTTCACTGGGGATTACTCACAGTCAGCTAAAGATGCTCAAACCGGGACTTTAAGACATGGCAAGAACGAAAGAGCACAATGTCACCAAATATCAGTTGCTAACAATATAGTTTTTTTAGACTGCAACACTTCATGATCATCTTATTTTTAATTTCCGCTCTACCATGTCACACTCTATGCATATGCTTTCATGATGCATGTACATGATGTGCACCTGCTCAGCGTTCCTTACTACAAATATGTTCGGTAAGTGACATGAGTGATAGTTGTGCATAGGCATCATTTACACATCTGACCCCAGGGCTGTGTTGAACGTGTGCTTATGCGAGCGCTGTGGAAACCATTTGGTGTGTTTTGTTCATTTTAACATATCAAAGACAATACTGGATGAATGATGGAACCGCGAGGCTTCAGGTGACTTTCTCCGATACAACACACGAGGTAAAGAGGACTCAACTCTGTAGCTCCTCCCTGGTTCATCACTCCTGCTGTGGTTTACCATTTCCATCATACAAGAAGCCTCCATTGCATTTATGTACCACGGTAGAGTTGATACACAAGAGTATAAGGTTTACTATAATACATAAGACTATGACCACAGGATGATTTCTTTACTTAAAAACAGTGTTATTGTCACTGATAACAGCGTTACATCAGCTTCATCGCCGTTTACCGCATTTTACAAAGATTTGCATGTCATCTCATCAGCAGAGATAACGTCGAGGACATCCCGAGTCAGCGATCGCTCTGCCTGCTTTAGAGGAAGAAGGTCCAATCTGAAGGGTATCTGAAAATTAAATTTCACTCACGAGAGCAGCCATAGACCATTTCATGGTTTATTGTCATACCCACATAATGCTCAATTTGTAAAAAAAAAAAAAAAAAAAGAAGCTTTTTGTAATAATAGCATGTGTATTCAATGTGGCCGATGAGAAACAATGAACCATGCGTGAACCATGGCACAAGCAACGACAGTGCAGACATGTCTGTTTTTACCAGTTATACATAAAATCCCTCAACCTCGCTCATCTTTTAAAACGGCCTCATTTTGTTCTTTCACACCGTCTCACGTGAAGTCATCCGTGTTGGCGCTGAATAGTGTTTTAAAAGAGGAACATAAAATAACAGATGCGTCTCTGGTAACAAGTAAAAGAAAAATATAAAGGTAGGAAAAACATGTTTACAGTATTTAGCATGTAAGATGTGTTCGGTCATAATATTTTCCACTTTCGGTACAAAAACAAAAGACTTTGGGTGTGTGTGTGTGTAGTGTTGGGTGTAATACGTTGGTGAAGTCGTCTTCTCTGCAAGACGGAGTCATCGGGAAAAGTCTTTGCTCGTCTCGCTCCGTACGGTTCAGTCTGGCACTACAAAAACTCTCTGATTCATGATTCTGTGAGAGAAGCCAAGTGTTTCGTCTCCCGATGTGCAATTGATTTTCCCTTCTGTATGAATCAAATGCAGTGGGTAACACAGGAGGGGAAGAGTGGCTCGGCTCTGCTGTGTGTGTTTGCAGACTTCAATACTGGGATGGAGATGTGTGGACTACAGTTCGACTGATATCGGTTCCTACCGTCTAATACTGCCCATTTTGGATAGAAACTGACATTTTGCCAATATTTAAACATGACAATTTGAACTGAATATCTCTGATAACCTTTTATTGCATTCAAAAACGATTGAATATTTTAGGGTTAGCAGCTCCAACGCACCAACTTGGATGAGCATCAAAGACTGTAAACATGAAGTGACACGGACTGACAGGGAGCTCATTGATTGGACAGTTCTGGTGAACGCATCATCAGCGCTACATGGACCCACGAGGAGAAATCAATAACTAACAGCAAGTCAGGATTATAAGCATTATTAGTCGACACTGCAACGGGACCTCGAGTGGTAAAAAGAATGCCTGATGGATAGAAAAGGGAGTGTTGTGCTGTAACATTAAGGGGGGGGGGAATAGTCAGTGTGGTCGGTAGGTTTCATACACTTTATAATGAACTGCTAAAATACATCAGAGTGGGACAGAAATCCTAACGTTCACACCTTCTTTACAAAGAGGTTAGGTGTGTAAGCCTCTTTAAACAGTGTCTAATAAACAAATAAAACGGCTCTGGAGTTATCGACTCGGCTGCTTTCAGTTGTGGAGCTACGCTAGGCTAAGATGAATCAATATTACCATCTGGTTAAGATGACACACAAATTGTGTTTCTTTAAATGCAACATGAATAAATACTAAACCAATAAATGCCACCATCGATCTGAATGCAAGGCATGTTTAATTGCTGGTTTCAGAGAAGTAGTCAAGCAGCGAGCCAACAGTGTGTGATGCCGACTTAAAAAAAAGAAACAACGCTCATATAGGCGAACCGATATCAGTCTGACCGTAGTGTAAACTCTTCAAAATGACAGCAGGCAAGATCCACCAACACGTCTCGTGTTGAGCTCATAGGTTCATATAGTGTGTGCTTGTATAAATCCTTTGTCTCTCCGAGCATGACGTGATGACCAGAAGAGAAGGGGCGTGCTGGGAGAGTTTCTCAGCTCTCGTCGTCGGGATGGTGTTGCTCCAGCAGCCGGACGTGGGTGAAGGGAAAGTGGCCTCGCTTGCCCTTGCACTCACCCTCCCACTGGCCGTTCACGTTGATCTTGGTCACTTTTACCGTGTCGCCCACCTGCAAGGTGACCAAAAGAAAAGAGAAAAGGATGAATGCATGGACACGACACACAGACCCTGTTTCTCTCTCGGATTTGGAATAACTGGCAGGATCGGTTCGTGCGAGTCGAACATATCAATACACGGTCAATGTCTGACAGCCCGCAGAAAGAACAGCGTCGACATATAATTGACTGACCCCTCTTCATCCGTACGGCAGCTAACGCACACATCGACTCCCTAGTTTCTAGTTAGAAAAGTGTGACACCACTTGTCTGACCGCCGACACGCCTGCCAGAAGTTCAGAGACTCCTTCCATCTTAGCTAGATGATCACACTGAATTGAAATTTGTCACACTTCATTCGTTCAGCCTGACATTGTGTTTGCGGCGGCCATTTTTTTGTTACGGGAGCGGAGGCTATTTCATATCTTTTCACCACAATCAAAGAAACATGCAGATTCAAGAATGGTTAATTGACAGCTGCGTCACCATTTTTGCAACTCGCTTAAAATAAGATTTAGTTTCAAAATAACATCATCAGTTGTGAATTACGGAATAATTGCTCATCCTTATCTACAGTGAGAGCATTGTGCACAGCGCTGAGAATCTCGACTTCTCTCAGTGTTTCCTACTAATAGTATATAGTGAAGCAGGCTGCACACATATCGTGTGAGCTATTTTAACAGCAGGTTCAAACCCACTGTCATCAGGTCTTCTCTCTCTCTCTCTCTCTCTCTCTCTCTCTCTCTCTCTCTCTCTCT